TTGTTTGTTTATTGCACATTTTTATTTTTTATCGATGTCAATATTTTTATTTTATTATATTTTTATTCGTTATTGCACATTTTTCCTTTAACCTCTAATATTTATATACTTTTTAATTGTTTTTACTGCACATTTTTACCCTAACTTCCTACTGTTTATTTCATCTTCTTAATCATTTTATTTAAAATTTAAAAAACTATTAAATACAACAAAAAAAAAAAAAAAAATCCTTTAAATTCAATTAGAAGAATACAGAAAGAAAAGCACAATAAAAGCATGAAGTGATTGTGAAGCGTCCCCTGAGTGTTTGTGTGCTCCCTGCAGATGACGCAGCAGGACGGGCAGCACCTCTGGAGGATGAAACACTTTAATAAACCCGTCTACTGCAACGTGTGTCAGAGCATGCTGCTGGGCCTCAGGAAGCAGGGGCTGTGCTGCACCTGTGAGTCCCTGAACGCACCACGAGAGGGCGACACTGCGTACAATAGTTATCAATAACATTTCATAATCATTGACCTATGAGTCAAAGCTATTTGATATCATTTAAATATCACTTTATATGTTTTTTTAACCAGTTTCAATCCGGTTTGCCAATTCCAAATGATTACTTTTCTGAGTTCTTGTCTTTTATATTCCAGTTTCTTTGAATAAATCCACTGTTTTTGATTTAAAAAAAGGGAATAATGTTCTGTAGATACAAAGGGGGGATTTCTATATTTTCTCAGTGTGAGTTATTCCACTTATTGACAACATTGATTTAGATTTATATAAAATATGTGCAGGAAAACCATGAAAATGCATGTTTTTGTCCCATAAGTCAAGAAAAACTGGTGAAATTAAAAGTGAAATTTAAAAATATAAATGATACTATATTTAATACATAGAAAGCAGGATTCATGCTGTAATGGCTGTGGGATTAATTACATGCTGTTTTAATTAAATAACACACATTATTATTATTATACATTTATTATGAAAGGAGCTGGCGTGTCACTTTGCAAATCATTGAAAAAAAAAGCAAAATGTAAAAAGCTGAAGACGATGCGTTAGACTTAAATGTTTAACAATGTGACCGTGTGTTGTGTTTCCAGGCTGTAAATACACGGTGCACGGCCGCTGTGCCAACAGGAACCCGGCGCCCTGCACACGGACCTATGTGAAGTCCAAGAAAGAAACCGGGGTATTAAAACTTTCTCCGTTGAATTAAAACACGTTCTCTGTCTGAGATGCTTTTAATGTTATATATAAAATATTCTTCTCACTTCTCAGGTTCCTGCTCACGACTGGGTGAGTGGGAACTGTGACTCGAGGAAGTGTGAGAAATGCCAGAAGAAGATCAAGAGCCTGCAGGGACTGACGGGGAAACACTGTGTGTGGTGCCACAGCATGGTGAGACATACAGTGAGCAATAAGAGGAGACGCTCAATCTGGGTATCAGTCACTAAAGGTCCCTATCATACTGTTTCTCATTACTCAGATATATCCAGAGCCTGTCTCTGATTGGCTGAAACACCAAACAGATCATTGCAGCATTACCCACAATCCCCTCTGTTTCAGCCCTGTTTCCAAAGTGCTGATTCTCTGTCTGTTACTTTAGATGAAAATAAGGAGCCCCTCCCCACGCCCCTCTGAGAGAGATTTGGTTAAAAAGAACTCAATGGTGCTCTAGGAGGAGATTCAGGTGATAATGTGGGGGGGGGGGTTACCTTGGTTGCTGATTGGCTAATGGTTACACAAGCCAACAAAATCGTTATGACATCATAAAGTGGCCAAAATCTGATCAGCTCATTTTCAGACAGGTTTTTATATAAATGGATGAGGACAAAAAGTGAGAGAATCTTTTTTCCTGAAACATTCAGAATCTCTTTACACAGAGGGGACACATGTTGATGTAGAAAAGACATGAAAAAGTGTGTGATGACTTCTACAAATACAAAGCTGAAATAATGCTGACCCATAGTTTATCACCAATGATTCAAGTAGTCCTGCTTATCAGTTCTATATAATGGATTCAGAGCATTACCATAGAAGCACAACACTTTTTGCTTCGTAGAGCAACAGTTGAGTTATGTCTACTTGAGCAGAGAATGAAGTCACCCTCCATAGCTTCTCAGGCCTTTGTTTTGGTAAGCTGGTCGGCCGAGCGTGCATGTGAGGGCCTCGCTATTCAATCATCTGCGTTTTCACGCAAACATAGCCTCAGGTTAACACTTTAAACTCTGTCAGCACTATTTGGGATGTGACCATTGGTAGCTGCTAGCTGTCAGCTCAGCCGTAGCGTTTTGAAAGTTGCCTTGCTATAATTAATTACCTTATTGTGTTCATCCCCACAATGGCATATGCAAAGAAAACTGGGTTGTACTCGATGTCTGCACCACGGAGGTTGAAAAGCCCTGAAAAAAGAAAACATCACATTTTCACAACATAATTTAAGATATAAATTGCTCCATCTCATTTAGCAGGTGACAGTGTCAGAAAACAGCGTAGATAAATCCATCCAGCTTCAATGTCTTACTCTAATTTGCTGAGTGTTCAATGTCAATGTTATTATGGGATTGTCACTTATCCTATCCCTTCAATTTTGCGCCCATTGAGACCCTCTTGTCTGAATGCTACCTGATGGCAATAGAAATCAGCCTTATTCAAATTAACAAAAACCCTCAGACTAAACAATCAGAAGCAAGACCTCGTTAGCGTGGTGAACAAGGTGCTCACACAGGCATCTAGAGGGACACCCGTGCATCCCTAGGTCCTTGGATCGTGATATAGAAATGGACTGCTTTACATTAGCATTTCATACTTTGTTTTCTTTTACCCGGGCATATTTTTAACTAGCTCTGGGTTGACATGTTTCATACTAAGAACAAAGACGCTTTACGGCTCTTGGTTTGCCTGAGTGCCAGCATTATTACAGGAAATCTACTGGCATGATCTCCAAGTAACAGCAGTAACAAAGAAGAACTAACATTTATTTTGGAGTGGATACAACTCACATAGCAGAATACCCAGCGACAACAAAAGGACTATTTTCTTTGTTAAAATATAGCTAGGTCATGGCTCCTTGGGCAGAAAATGACATTGGTAGCCTCTCCAACCAAGAGGGCATGTGAGGGCACTCAAAAGGAAACTGGAGTGGATCCAGCTCACATGAAAAAAACACATTTTCTTTCCCCGCAACATTGACAGAGGAATTTTTAGGAATCAATCACAGGGTTAAGATGTATTGTACAGATAGGGTAAAAGATCTGACAGCTATCTAGTTGATGTGCGTTAGAAGTTGCTGTACATATTTCTAAATATTTTTAACAGCTATTCTATACAATTCTTACATTCTGAAAAATTGACTTCTCTTAACTACAGGGTTTCCCACACATAGACTTTACTTGGGTAGGCCGCCCAGGTATATTAACGGCCGCCAAAGTATATTTTATATAGTTTGTTTTTTTGTATCCGTCCGCGAGCACGATGCCATCTGCGATCGATTAACTAGTGGACAATGATCCCTCGCGCTACGCCTCCTGTACCTGTTCGCTCCGCTATCGCTCTGCTATACAAGCAACCAACAGAAAGGGAGACCTTACGAGAAACAGAGAAGACGACGTAAACATAGATTTCTTCAGAGCAGTGTGTTTTGTTCACATGATGTTGCACGTCACACAGCCCCCCACCCCCCCACGTGCCCGGCTACCACAAGTACAGTTGCAAGAAAAAGTATGTGAACCCTTTGGAATTACCTGGATTTCTGAATAAGTTGGTCATAAAATGTGTTCTGATCTGCATGTTTGAAGTTTGCAAAAGAGCACCTGGATGTTCCACAGCACTACTGGCAAAATATTCTGTGGACAGATGAAACCAAAGTTGAGTTGTTTGGAAGGAACACACAACGCTATGTGTGGAGAAAAAAAGGCACAGCACACCAACATCAAAACCTCATCCCAACTCTGAAGTATGGTGGAGGGAGCATCATGGTTTGGGGCTGCTTTGCTGCCTCAGGGCCTGGACAGATTGCCATCCATCATCGACGGAAAAATGAATTCTCAAGTTTATCAAGACATTTTGCTGGAGAACTTAAGGCCATCTGTCCACCAACTGAAGCTCAACAGAAGATGGGTGATGCAACAGGACAACGACCCAAAGCACAGAAGTAAATCAACAACAGAATGGCTTCAACAGAAGAAAATACGCCTTCTGGAGTGGTCCAGTGAGAGTCCTGACCTCAACCCAATTGAGATGCTGTGGCATGACCTCAAGAGAGCGATTCACACCAGACATCCCAAGAATATTGCTGAACTGAAACAGTTTTGTAAAGAGGAATGGTCCAAAATTCCTCCTGACCGTTGTGCAGGTCTGATATGCAACTATAGGACACGTTTGGTT